TAAAAAAGTAGTAAAAAAGTGCTTTAAAGTACATTTATGCCAACCTCATCAAGTAAAATTTCTGAAAGATCATTACTTTGAAAATCTAACATAGATGAGGATTAAATATATTAGAGGTTAAAGAACTATTGAAATCTATGTAGTTTACTAGATTTTTTGCTAGTATCAATAGATTAATACATCCATTAAACGTAATTTTTAATGGATAATATGTTCAGTTTAGATTATCCACTTTAACCTCTCTCCAGGAAGCATGGGTTATGAAATTTATATTATTTATAATTATTATTTTATGATAAATATACCACATGCCAAATATTCAGACATGTAGTATGCCTTGTATATAACATTATTCTTCAGAGCAATGTTTTATATTTTATTAAACAATAATGGAACCGAAATATTTCAAAATTTAATTATTTTTATTAACAATCATTAAAATGAAATTAATAAGCTTACACTCTGTTTTAATAATTTCTTGATTATGGGGCTAAATTTGTGAAAATTGATAGAATCTCCATAATCAGTAATATTTAGCTATGATGTCTTACTCTAGGCTAGTTAGGTTAGAGTGGCAACTTTGTGTACCAATAAAACCCATTTCAGCTCACATAAGGGCATATTGTGGTACCACAGGAATAATGTTGGTGCTTCCGTAGACTAGCTGATCAGTATACGATCAATACCGAAAGAAGGCAACGACTTACTCTAAGCAGCACGGCTTTATAAATGTGTGAAAATACGTTATGTATTCTGAAGAAGCAAATAAAAATGATTCGAAATATAAAAAAACTAAACCATTATAGAAAAAATTACAATAAATGAAAAAATAAAAGATAGAATTAACAAAAGACAAATTATTTAAGAATCACATGTTAATAAACAATTAACGAACATTTCAAATATAAAACCTTAAAGTATCCTTGTTCAAACTTGGAATCCTGTATTTATGGTGTCAAAAAATAAGCCTTTTAATCGTTATTATTATCATAAAGCCCAAACTTGGAGCCAAGTTCGTTTGGTTCTCCCCAAATTTCTTCAAAGATATCTATTACATTTTAAGGGTTTGAATGCAGAGCCAAGTTCAATACACCCACAAAATTTCTTCAAAAATTTCGATTAGATTTTTGGGCTCCATGGTTTTAAAAAACTTCTATAATTCTTACAATACCGGATTTTGAATATACAGGATAATTTCTCTTTGTTGGGAGGTAAAGAATAATTGATCAGTATTAGAAATAATATTGATGACGGTAAATAAGTTAGATTTTCAAATGCATAAAGTAAATAATAATAATTAATAATAATAGATTAAAAATTTTAGACAAATACATTTACACAAACTATCGCACATATACACTAAAAACTATTAAATAAATAAAAAAATAGTTGTAAGTACTAATAAATATTAATAAAAACGCAGAATTTTTTATTTCTGGCGGTGTAAATGCAATCAGTTAAATTGATAAAAAAACGAGAAAAATTAATAAGAAAATTCATTGAGATAGCAAAACGTTAAACAATATATATAAATATATATATTAAAAGTTAAAAATTAAAAAAAAAAAATGTTAATGAAATTTATAGTAAAATAAATAAAGTATATATATATATATAATTTATAAAATTGATAATATTAAAATAAATCATTTTTATTATCATTAAAACGTAATAAGTAATAAAACTAAAGCTCAATAATTATAAAAAAAAAAACAAACAAAAAAAATTCATACATTAAAAATTATTATAAATGAAATAAATTTAAATTTACTAGGAACAAAATAAATAATATAATATATATAGTAAATAAAAACATTATATTAAATAAGTTTGTTAACATATTTATAAAACTGAACAGATTTTTAATCAATTAAATTGTTTTAAATTGTATTTTTGGTTTTTGTTTAATTCGTAAAAAAAAAAAATAAATTATATAAAAATATAGAAACATAAATTTTAATTATTATTTGATTATAAAACAAAAGTAAATAAATTAAATAAAAAATATTTAAAGAAAAGTGAAAGTATTACTTAGTGTAAGTATTATTATTAATAATAATAATTAATAGTTGATAAATTCATTTTAAATAATGAAAGAACAAAAATGGAGTATATAAAAATAATTAATACTAATTATTATTATACAAAACAAAAACAAAAACAAAAATAAAAATTAAATAAATAAATGAATAACAAACACAACTCACAATTTCCAAACTTATTAAATTAAATACATATATAAGAATAATCATGTACTAACATCAAAATACATAAAAATTATAAGAAAATTAAAAACGAAGTACGCAAAACTTAAATAAACAAATTTAAAAATGGTGAAATTTAAAGTTTAAAATATAAAACTTCAAGAGAAAAATGAAAACAAACTAAATTAATAACAAAATAAAAAAAAAACAACCAAAAGTTATTTATGATGAAAATAATAAATGAAAAAAATTATAAAAATATACTTGAGTTTTATTTACTTATTTTTTTTTTATAGTTTATAGAATATTTATTTTTATATTATAAGAGAGTTACAAATTACTCGGAAAGAACAATTTTATATAATTAAAAACGAGTGGAGACTTTTAAAGGAGTAACATTCTCGGAGAAATAACAGCAATGTTGGTCTGTATAAATTTATTTATAGGTTGCTAACCGTTTCAGTGATACTCGTTCGAAAGACATACTGATTATAATATATTTCTAACTTATAATATTATTATAGTACTTACAATATTAATAATTTTATATTTTGTTCCTTAAACTTCTTTAAAGAACCATATATTTTTAATTTCTTATAAAGCATGGTCAATAATATATAAAAAAATATTATTTATCAAACCGAAATATGTCATTTTGATCTTTCCAAAGCAAGCTGGATTTTCGTTCCGTTGCTACTCATTCAGAACGACCAAATACACTTTAACAGGTTTACCTAAGAATAGTTAAATATGCGGACATCAAGAAGAGGCCGGGATTAACAGACAACCAAATATGGTTTATCAGGTCAAAAGCGGTCTGGTGTTCGTTTGGAGCTCACTCATTTATAAGGACTACATATCGCTTATGATATTTTTCTAAAAATGATGTAGCATGAAATATTGATCGATAACATGTGAAAGTATTTCTATTAGGCTATTAGTACTATAGAAGTTTTGAGGTTTTAAAAATATATTTTAACTCTCTCTATACTCTCCATAAACTCTCAATAGAATTAATAAAATTAAATGTATTATTTTAAATATATTAAACAAAGGTCTTATTTATAAAAAAGGTGTCCTGTAGCCGGATATAAAATATATAGAAAAACATATATAAGCGCTAAGGATAAGTGCTAGGAATAGTGTAATTGTGCTTGTTTAGGATAAGAAATGGATGAGAAGTGATTGGTACATGTAACGGATACTCACCAGAACATAGTGCCTACCATGACATATATATACCAAATACATTGGCACGCAAAGCCACAGTCATGAGTTATACTTAGGTATAGCTGATATATTTATATCAATCAATACTTGTAAATTTATAAATTAGGTGACAAATAAACTCTCTACAAATTGAATTACTTCACACGATTAGAACCAAAATAAGCAATATCATATCTTACTGAGATATGATAACAGTAAGAGATTTCGAGTTCTAACTACCATTATTGCCTAGATAAAAGAAACTAATCAAGCTCTCATCTATCACAAGTAAATTCTCAGTTTTGGCAAAAAACAGTTTTATCTATATGCGGTCTGAATTGTTTTTCACACCGACTCATCTTCAAACCTAACCTAACCTACTGTTATAATTATAATAATAAATAATTTTTTTCAAAGGGAAATCTGGGTTTCTCTTATTATTATATTTTGTTTTTGTATTTTTACAGCCTAGCTGCGGTAGCACAAAAGGCCTATAGGTCAAAGTGGATCTCTTGGGGTTGCCGATATAAATTAATCTCACATACAGCCTAGCTAGATAAAAGCTGTAACCTGGGTTGCTGGCAGTATAACAGTGACCTATTTTAAACATAACATTTGTTCACCAGTCGTTTCCGGAACAATACCAATTAACTTGTTGTTGTTATTATAACATGCTGGGATCTAGTTGTAGAGTCCCTTTGCAGGGTGGTGAACCACACTTGGTTGTCATGGTTTACAAGTGACTACGGAACGTAGCCCCGGCCGTTGTTGGTACCACCAGTTACATTAAGAAGCATTGTGTTCTATATTTCACATAAGCATTTCTCCTTACGTAGTAATTCTGATAATGAATTGACTGTCTTTTTTGGCATAGTGCCTGTTGGTTTCATCAGTGTTGATAAGATTTCTGAACTCTTAAATAACTTTGTTTGATGGACTGGCTTATTCTTATTAACTTATTTTTCACATAGGGACCAGCTATTTTTTTATTGTTAATTACGTATATTGATTTGATTTAAAAAAAGTCGTTTTAAAATGAGGCTATGTCAAATTAACTAAGTCCGCTATATGCAGTATCTCTTCGAGGGACCGGCGAATGGACTACAGTAAATAAAATAAAATTAAATCATACCCACCGTTGTACAAGCCGTCCCTAGGTAAAACATGTCGTGTGCACATCCGTGAGCACGCGGGCCAGTAATGTTGTTGCGGAGTGACCCACCGGTGGGCATGCGGTCTTTAACGTGTTAAGGCTGATTATTTATTAATTGCCATGGTATAGTTAAATTGCGATATGAATAATTTAGCTACACTTTCCCGCGACTATTTTAAAGCAGTATATAATAAATGTTTTGGTTAACACATATGCCAAACTACACAAACTACATTACAACAAAATTAAAAATTATTTCTATTCCATAGTTATTATAATTGCAACTAAAATGGAGGAATTAATAATTTAAAAAACAAATTGGCTTATTTACATTAAAAATTTTATTGTCTTTATTCGTTGTTGTGTCTATAACAATATTACTATATAAAGCATTTTATCGTTTAAATTTTATATAAAAACAATTTTTTATTAACAAATAATGTACTGAATTATATTGTAATTTTAAGGGCACTTTAAGAGCATTAAAATGCAGAACTATAAGGAATGCATCTGATCAAATCTGATCGAATAAAATAATCGCTATTAACAATTTTCTCATATATAAAGAAAGTCTAACTCTAAGGAGATTAAGATAATGTTTAAAAAAAAAAATTAAATTGGCACTTTTAGTTTTATAAATAAAATCTAAGCTGGTTCCTGCAGCTTAGATGTACTGCGACTAAAAACTTTTTTAAATAATTTTGAAGGCCATTTTTTCTTCTTTTTCGTATCACAAGGGCTGGACGTAATAGAAAGATTTGACATACTTGAACTGCCATCACGACTCACGGCACTTAATTGACTTGTTGAGTGTGCATTTCTTAATTTAGAATCACTGACGAGAAGTTTGTGATCCGTATTATGTATTGACGAACGTTTTTTGTATTTAAAACGTTCCTTCTTTTTGGGTATATCATCTTCAGGGACAAATGCATTGCCATTGATATTAATGCTAGGTATTTCAGTTGGTGGTGTCGGTAGGGTTGGTATTTTTGTTTCAAATGATTTAGGTAATGAACAACTAAAATAATCAAAAGCAATTTTATGTTAGCGTATAATAAATATATATATCAAACAATATTTTAAACAAACCTTATGAATTCTTTAGCATATGAGGAGGTTGCATTTGTAGGCATTTGTACATTTCGTATTGAAGAAGCCAGCTTGCTCCAAAAATTGAAAAGTCCGTTTGTATTCCCATTGTATCGAAGATGTGTATAAATTTTAAGAGTTCTTGGTATAACTACTTTATCGTCATATAGCAGAGGTATAATTTTACGAGTTTTATTTTCTATTAAAAAAAATACAGATTTAAGTAAGTAATTGAATCAATAGATTTAATTTCTTTAACATACGTATTTGCAGCGCTTGTGTGTAATTGACTAAAAACTTATTTTCCGGACTCTTTATAAATTCATCCGTTAAGATGACAATTAAGTGTTTACAACGCTCCTCTATAAGCTGGGTTAGCGCTACATGTGTGAAGGACACTCCTGCCAGTAAATCACGATCTTTAAGGCAAAGCTAAAATGAATAAAAAACTATTGTTTTTATAATTAATTTTAGAATTTATGAAAATTACCTTAAAATTATATTCTTCATTTTCTTCTAATTTTGCTAGCATCTCTATAGCATAGTTAATATCTGCATCGGCGAAGAGCACAAATGCATCGTACTTTTGTGGTGGTAAGCCTTTTTGTGCACGAAGCACATCGTCTTTTGTCAATATGTTGGGATCTGAACCAAATCCAAAATTATCATTTGATTCTAATGGTTGCACTGCATCGGGTTCATCATTTAGTACTAGGGATTTTTGTTGAAGTTTAGTATTATAATTTCTTGCATCTTCAGCTGAAAATAAAATGATAAAAAATTATTTATAGTTATAGAAATATTAATACAAAATAATTAAAAAATTAAATAAATAAATAAAAAATATTATTTTATTTGTTATATTAGAAGAACACTTATTATAGGTGATATATACAAAATGAACTATTTTTGAGAGTTCATTATTTTTGAAGACAGGCTCTCCACTTTTATAGACATCTACAGTGGGCAGACTCTGACAAAATTTACATGTTAGCATGGAAATATGCATTAAATTCAAATTTTTGTGTTTCCTTTATATCTCCAGTGAATTCATGAACTGATTTCTTATGACATATAATAAAAATGAACCCCAACTTAGTTTAGGTTAGGTTAGAGTGACGGCTTTGTATTCAAGAAAGATGGCTTGTGCTCAAATATTGCCTCGTTCTGGTAAGACAGGAATATCTTTGATTCGTACATAGACTAGAAGGTTAGTATAGAACCAACGCAAAAGAAGGCAACGACTCCGCTATTAAAATATTTGTCAAGGTAAAACTGACAACTCTATGACTTTTGGTTAATTCCCTAATATTACAGGATGGCAGCACGGAGATTTTTGAATTATTCCTGGCTAAAGATGGGAACTGACACATGAGATGGAACACAGTTTCCTCTTCATCCACAGAGCCACAGCCATGACAAAAGTCATTCTAAGGTAGATCAAGATTCATTTCACACCTCGCTATTATGCAGTGGCCCTGTAGCACCAATACCGTAGCGCTAAGCAAGTTCCGTCTTAGTAACCCCAACATAATTCCCTTCCACATTTTCTCTTTCATTCCTTGCGAATTTTTTCGTGTCTTGCAGAAACGGCTCAGCTCAGAAAATTACAGAAGATATACATAGAGGAAGTAACATATGTGAAAAATGGCAAGTTTAAGTCTGTTCTATTACTTCCAATTGAAATACTTACGATTACAAAATGTTAAAAATATTTCCAACTATAACACTGTGGGATAAAAATGAAGTCTTTTCAACAAACTTCAGTTTTAAAAGTTCTAGGTTATTTGGGTCTACTAAGTTTAAATATGCAACTTGTTTTTCTCTTAGATATCTTGGTCTTGGGAAATAACGAGTTAAAATTATAAAATTTGAGTTTAAAAGGGTTAATAAAACATTTTTATTTTAAGAGTTCTGAATTACATGTTTTCAGTAACTCTGGCTATGAATGAAAAGATAAATATGTTTGCCTTCGATATCCTTTCAAAAATTTCCTTGTAAAAACTTTACCCATGTTTTGTATTACTTCTAATCATACCCGTCTTTCGGTTATATGGTTATTATTAGACTTTTTTATTATTAATAGCAACTAAAAATTTTATAGCTATAGTTTAGCTATGCCTTAAAACAAACAAAAAATCTTTGTAAATCATATAATGTTTATATATTTTCTATTATTTGTTATTAGTATTTTAATTATTTACTTTATAAATTATTAAATATTAATTTTTCATATGCTAAATAATTCGTGCAAATGGACTAAAATTGTTGGCAAAGTGTCAAATTGCTTTCAGTACGTGTGAGTATATATATTATGACGGCAAGTCCAAAAACACTTAATGGGAGAATATAAAGTGACAATTAGTCAGTCTGGGGAACTGAAAGGCGTAATAACGAATGCGTAAAAAAACACTAATATATACAAATGTATATTTTTTTAGAATAATTTTTAAATCAAGGGCGAACCGAATACATATTTTAAAATATTTGGATAAATATTTAGTTTATCATACATCAAAGTCAAAACTGTTAATGTTTTGAAATATTTTTGACACGAGACGAAATATTTTTATATTGTATAAAACATTGTGTTCTTATAATATTAAATATTGTTTCAAAGTAATTGTATGTGATTGGATTCTGGGAAAATAAAATTAAAAAATAACATAATCTTTACTGAATGCAGTACTTTGCATGACAAAAAAAAATTTATTATATACTTTTAAGAGAATAAAAATATATATGATAACAAAAAATATAGCTTAGCACTTTAAAATACATTTCTCCCGACTCATTGCATAAAAAATATTTTTAATTTTTTTTTTCTAAATTTTTCTGTTTTTAACTATGGGTACTCAGTATTACCGCGCTAGATTCATTTGTTCCAAGTCAATTACTTTTAATTATTGCATCATTCATGCATTCATTGCTGTACTTTCCGACTATTTGCTTTCTAAAACAATTTTTGCAAAAAGCACTAAAATATTTTTTAATTAAGACTTAAGTCATAAATAAGTGTTGAGTTAGAAATAAGTTTCATTAATTAATGCGCATACAGATCAGGAGAACTATAATCGGTTCTTATTATTCGTTATTTTTACTATAATAGTACTTTTAAATAAAATTGCAAAAAGCAAAAGCAAATCACATATAAGTGATGATGAATGTTAGAAATTGGGTTTCGGATTAAATAATAAAATGACAATAGAAAAAATTGCGAGAAAAAGGAAAAGCTCTCATATTTTCTCTCTTAAGGAAGAGGAGAGGAAGCCTCATATACTCCCAACTAGAACACTTTTTTTAGAAGTATTTAGTAAAAAAAAGTTTCATTTTTAAAGATAAGTTGAAGTACGAGCTTTATCTATATCTAGCTTTATCTATATATATTTATCTATATATATGCCTTGAGATTTAGAGCTAAAGAATAACCGAGAATGCATTTTATAAGAAACTTAAGTAAAAATAATCTTTTTGGCTTCTTTTTTTTTGCGTATATTACTTTGTAGGTTTCTTCAGCATACAATTCATTCTATATAAATTATCTATAGAGTATTACAATTTATGATAATTTGATTAATAATTGTTTGAATAGATGTATAACCTATGTAATCATTTGCAATTTCATGTTAGTGTATTATATATATATATTGTGGTAGCTCCACGGAACCCACCTTCAGGTAGGTTGTTTGGTTACAGTGGCAGGCAATCAGTTAACTTACATTTACCTCAATTAGCGATTTCTCGTCGTCTTCCTATCAATTTCTCGCAAGTATTTCTAATATAGAAGAGTATAGCAAAAATCCATCCTGTCGAATTTAGATAGTTTAATAGGTATTTGGTTTTTACCGATAAACAGTCTGATAAATTGTCAAAGAAGTATCTTCCTATTTACAGAGAAAGTGTTTTATGGTTTATTTTCCCTGCAGGTTTCCACAACTTTTGCAGTAAGGATTATGCGGAATGCGCAATTACTCTACATCTACCCTTGATGTGACTAGCAATTTGCCGACATGCTTCACTAATTGCTAAGATTTTAGACTGAAAAACTGTGGCCTCATTAGGTAGCCTCAAAGAATGGCTTATGCTCTCAGATGGCGCGAAGATTCCTACTTCAACCCCGAGCCATCCGTATAGATTTAGATATCGTAATTTGCTTTTAAGATTTTTCTTTTCCATTCATTTGTTGAAGTCAATATTGTCTCCAAATTCCTTTTAAAGTCTAGACACGGATTCAAATAATCTGACTTCATCTTATACTCATAGTTTGGAACTGTACCTAGAATCTGATTATCTCCATATGCTCGTTCCGATCAGACGCCAGTCGCTTTCAACTTAAGAGCGCTGTTACAGTAAAGTGAAGGATTAACTGAAGTACATGATTCGATTCTTGGACATCATTATTGAGTAAAAACTAAAATGGCTTTCCCATGTTGGAACAATAAACATAACTACATCCCATGTTTGTGCAAGTAGTTCACCTAGCTTAAGCCAACCTTAAGCTAAGCCAAATCATCGTCAACCCAATAGTGTCGTAAGACAGTCAGTACTGGACGTTGGAACAATATATGTACCGCCGTCTCCTCTTCTTCTAAACATAGTCTGTGTTTTTTATCTTTTTGAGGTGATATTTAAATATTCCATGTCTAGTGATCAATGAGGTCAACCAACTTAGAGTGCTCCGCGGATAGCTAAGCACTTTTTTGCTTTACTAACTACTGTCACTATATTAGACAACTGCAATTAGTGGATTAATGTGATTATCTTTTGAAATATCTAGAACTAGATTTTAGAACGACATTTTTTCAATAAAAAACATAGATTTTAATGGATATATTTGATAGTAGCAAACGAGTGGATCTGTGTATTAAAATGTTTTCAATGGATATCGTTTCCATTCTTTCTATATTAGGAATACAATTGCATTCCATAAGATATGTTAGGTAGTATAATAACTTTATAAGGGAGACTTTTTTTGCTTTTTTTCACTAGATTGTAGAGATATTTATTATGTATATTTAAACAATTTATGATAGGTTTACATCCAGTTAAACCATATGTACTAAGACGGAACCCTTTCATATTTATATTCGAATTTTTACCCTAAAATAAATTTAATTACGGGATCACAAGTGTTAATTACCTGATCAATATGCAAACAACTTACATAGAGAAAAATATGAAATGCCTTTTGTTTATCATGTAAATTGGCTAATTTTATTATACAAGTATTTTTTTTTTAATATTTATTTGTATTTTTTTCTAATCGGGTGTTTGTTAAATGAAGCTTAACAAATTTTATACATATATTTTTTATTAATTATATAGGTAAGTTACAGATTTTGGTACATAATGACTTCCCTCTACACGATCATATAATGTCTACGTTCATAAAACTTATTAATTAATAAAAAATAATAATCTTCTTAATAAACAATAACAAATAGCTATATATCTAAATATATATTTCAGGTTTTCGCAATTTGAAGCATGACTTATGAGTACATGACAGATATGTCATATGCTTATTTACTTAACCTTATCAGTTCCAGATGATACTCGTATATATTTGCTTAAAATATTAGCAATTTAAATATATATTCGTATATTATCTACCTATTATGGGGACGTATATAATTGCGGTGTAATTATTTTTTGCACTTTGTTTATTAATGGCTCATAAAGATTTATTTTATTTAGTGGCAAGCAAACAAAAACTACAGCGACGTAAAATATGAAAAACAAATACAAAATTTTATCTTTCGTATTCATTTTAATAATATTTTCATGACATTGTTTATCATAGAAGGAAAGTATCGTTTTAATTAAACTTTAAAAAATATATAAAAAAAAATTGCTAACCAAATGCAGCGAACACAGACAAGGTACGTGTCACATTATGATATATAAGTATAAGAATTTTATAAATTTGTGAAAACAAAAATATTAAAGATTTGAAATTAATTATATTTTTGTGTGGCCTTAGTGTGATGTTCTTGGATTTCAGAATTCTAATTAAATTTATAGAAATTTTTTTCAAATATAAATATAGACTGATAAGCATTGCAGCAACATTTTCTGAACTGTTTCCCAGTCATCGACAATAAGTCGTTTGAAATTCTCAAACTACTCGCTAGCTTATCAAGCTAGTGGAATCCTGAAGGCACCCAGTTTTCGGTGTGATCGAATTAGATGAGTTTTACGAATATTTTCTCTACCATTATCCACAACAATAGATCAACTTACACAACTTAGTTAAAAAAAAACCTCTCTGGAAGCCAAAATCAAAGAAAACAGTACATAAAATGACGTTGAATAATTATCGAATTAAAATCAGATAGGTACATCGTTTGTGAATATTCATAACTGTTGATTAAAGAGAGGCCACCACTATAATCCGGAGATCCAATAACAATCAAATCAGAAAGTTGAAAAATGGAAAAGAGATCTGAAAAATGAGAAGACCCTGCATTTAATTTGACAATAGCTATTATTTTTTGGGATAGCCAGATATATTTCAAGAAAAATCGAACTTCGGGCAAATTACAAAAAGGCTCACATATCCACAGTGCCCATAACAAGTGCCAATTTTTACCATCTCGCCATACTAAGCCTATTTATGAATTTGATTGACCATTATCATTAAATATACACTCCAGTGACTATACTGCTATTTCCATTGTCCGCTTCCTCCAGTAGAACATAGGACCTCAATAATTCTTCTAAATCTGACTCTATTTAGTGCTTCTCTATAGATGTCGTCACATGTATACCGTGCTTTAGCTAGCTAACTTTCAAATTTTTTCACCACTCTTTCATTTTCGCAGCAGATCTTCTGCTACTTTGTGGATTCCATGCCAAAGCTTGCATCGCTTTGTAATTTCGCAGTTGTCTAAGTGTATGGTCTATCCACTTCCACTTTCTCGTTTTTATCTCAGCTTTTGCTGCTTTTTAATTTGTTTGGTTCAGCACGCGTTCAGTTGATATTCGAACTAGCCACCATATTTTTGAAGAATTCTACGTATACACCTATTGATAAACACATGTATCTTTCTTTCTATATGTCTGGAGAGCTTCCATGTTTCACAGTCACAGTATAAGATAGATTTCACATTTTTGTTGGAGATTCGCATTTACTATGCCTATTGAGTTGACTGGACTGAGTTGAAACATTTCGGTTTGCTTCATCAGATTTGTATTATGACGTTAATTTTGCACCTCCAAAATCGTTGTGCTTGCTGCCGTAGCAGGGGGATGGGAGTTACCATTTGGAATAGTTAAACCATTTACGTTTAAATCTATGTCTTTGATAAAGATTTTAATATGGTTCGAGCAATTTATTGTGTGAGTGCTGAGCTCAAAGATTGTTCATTTTCGATTTACTCCATTTTCGATTTAGGTTACACTCCACTGGAGTACAGAATGCATTTAACTATATAGTGACTATATTTGTTTCTAAATTTGAAAGATTGATGGGCCAACGATGAAGTTGTGATTTGATATGTAATATGTAATATTGTACTTCATGCGATGCACTATTTCAAGAAGTTATATTTAAAAATATTTTATTCCAGATCACAGTAATCTCACAAAAAAATTTTTAAAAGGCTTTCGTCTAAAATTTTTTATATAAAAGACATTGCAGTAAGAACTGTTCTGATTTAATTAATTTACCGAATGTTTTTATATTGAAATGTATTTACAAATTTTGAGCCTCATTCACCAACGACTCTGCACTATTAATACGGTTAATCTTCTTTATCTAGACCCATTTTAAGTTGAACACTCTCTCCAACTCATTCCTTTTATTGTACGATTTCTATTTTAAAAGCAAGTTTATTTGATAGAGTATTTTAGTAAAAATTTTTGAAATATCTTACTTCATAGTTTCAAATTCTTACACGAAAATAGATCAGAAGATACGACTACTTTTTGTTACCAGTTGTCTGTGTAAGCAATATAAAAATTATATATATCAGTTGACGCTATATGACGTTTGTGAATTTTATTCGCTTAATCAATATAAAAAGTTAACAATTTCACACTTTGATATCTCGAGGAGCTTTATCGGCATATAACGTTGTGGAAAAATTGGCTTAGAATATTTAAATTTACTAAAATTTGTTATCAAATCAGTGTCTTCAGGATATCGGAACCGCTCCTTTTTTTCACTTCTACTCTATAATTCTTCATATTCATTATTCTATTCTATGTATTTGCTTTATAGAACATTTTGGGCTATAATGACATTACCAATAACCACTCTCTTTTTTGTTGTGTCTTTTTAAAGTTAGTGTATCTTTTACTCTTTGATAGCTGGGGGCCCATCTCACTGACTAATTTGTGTATTCCTCTTAATCTTCGTAATTATTCAATGACTGATTACTCTGTGATTAGTTAGTACTAAGTTCGCATATAGCATCAGGACTTATCGGATCTATTCTAAGGTCTCTTAACATGTCATTCGTACGGATTGTCTACTTCTACACCCAAAAGAATACACAAATAATGTTTGAAATAAAAGGCAGGTCAAAGTTGAGTTATAAATTGAAAAAAAGTCTATATGATAGAATTAAATTGACATTAAAATTCTAAGAAGTTGATTGTTGAAGAGAAACCTCAATTAATAAATCAACAATTTCTTTTATTGTAGAAAATATATTTTAAAAAATTAAAAGATTGTATGACACAAAATGTGTATATAATATATACTTTTAAAAAAATTGATTAAAAAATATTACTCGTTGAGGTTATTTTATTTTATTGTTCAATTGTTTGTGCACTTTTGCTTTCATCTAATGGAACTTTAATCTTGGAAGTGAACTGACCTTTCAAACGAACTAAATTGTCTCAATCATTCTCAGTTTTAAGGCGATGATGATAGTATGTATGGAAACTGATCGGTGAATAGTAGTCGTATGTATGTTCGGTTGAGTGTGTAGTTTGTTTTGGGATTCCAGATTGGCACGTTTAGCACTCGTATTAACGCATAAATAAAATTATTTGTGTCATAATCAAATTTTTGATTATATTATCAAAGTTAGATAAACTAAAACACGTAATAAGGCAAATAGGCAAACAAAAGTGAGCTAAGTATGCAAACATTTATGAACTGTGGAACGAATAATGTTAAATATTTAAATAATGAGTATCAAATTCTACACATTACATACCTCCACCCGATAAAATTTTTTTTTTTTAAAAGTATATAAATAAATTGCGAAAGCATAGTAAAATATCTTTGCAACAATGTTGAGGGGTAGGTTTGTGGAACAATTATTTTAATTTTTAACTACACATAAAAATGTGGAGAGATCAAGGTTTTAAGTCAAAAGCAAAGAACAATATTTACTTTAAAAAATTAAATAAAATTCTTAGTCATAATAAAAAACTAGGAAGTCACCTACTTATTGGACAGGAAAATATACTTATGCATTTTTGGATTGACGTATATTGTTAAAATATTAAAAATTATAGTATAGTTTTAAAATATATAAAAGGCTTACCTATATTCTATCATGAATGATAACTTTGAAATAATAATATTGAAACCACAACTGCATATACATATATATATATATAGTAATTATATCAATAAATCAGCTAATTTGAAATAAACTTGATTATTGTTGATTATCATGAACATTCATAAATTATAAAGTTTTATGATAATCATTTTAGGTGTTATCGTACCAGGCGTAGATAGAGATATAAATTGATTGTAAAATGTTTTGCTATAATTAACAGAAAAATGCACTATTAAATTTTAGGGTGCAGTGCAATTGTACTTACATTTTTTGTTATTTCTTCTTAAGAATATATCTTCCATTCAATTAGAGAAAAGGGTCTCAGAAATTCGCGTGCTTACTTAAGTGTTAACGACGATACTGCGCCTATGGTGTCTTCCGACTATGTAGGATTTAAAGTCGGTTTTTTTGTTCAGGATTTCAACTTTGAGAAAATACGTATAGAGATATACAAAATACAACGCACGAAAGAAAAGTTCAAATCCAAAAACAAAACCGACTTTAAAATATATTCGACAAAACAACTCAAAAAATTTAAAACAAAATTATATGTAGGACTTGTTATTATGTAAAGGAGCTTAAATTCATCAGGAAGAGAAGGAAGAGAGTAGTTTAATCGGATTTCTTTAATTTCTATAGAAGACTAAATGCATTAACTCAGGATAGTATAAAGATATATATTGAATTAACGGTTATCGTAAACACCCTCCCACTTCATCACTTACTTTTTATGTCTTCTTTCAAGATTACAAATAAAGCGATTTCATTATTTACGATATCGTTTTCTCACCCACCTGGTACAGAAAAAAAAGAAAAAGAGAAATGTAATCAAATTAGATTAATTTTTATGAAAGCCTTGATGGATTATCAGAACAGTATAAAGCTTTAAATGGAATTAACGGTTAGCATTGGTGACCTTCCACTAGCAATTTGAGGGCATCACAATGGGATATAGATGACTCAGAGTAACATTGTTATTGCAGTAACACTTAATATTGATTTTTATATATATTTTTTATAATATATGTATAAAGTGATTTTTATTTAAACAATTAAATAATAATTGTACTTTATTTAATTAAGTAAATAATTGAACTTACCTAAATTTTCATAAATATCATCAGAAACATCCCAACGATCGATTCTACCTAAGAAGCGCTCTAGATTTGCAAAAGTAGCAGTTTTCGGGCTATTGCTACACCAGAGTTGCAATACTTTTGACATTGGATCACCGCCGCTGAGAGCATTTTCATCACAAAAATTTTTCTGTTGTGTTAGCATAGCAATACCACGCCAATCCCGTTCATAGCCCTCTTCAGAACGTAAGACCTTCTTAGAATTCAACGAATTTGATAATTGTTTTCTGGTATTTTTACTAAGCGCTGTCAGTGGTATATCGTTGAAAGAACTCTCACTGCCTTCCGAAGCAGCAGAATCTAAGGAAGAAGCAGCATTTAAATTAACAGGAGGTATAACTACAGCTAAATTTTGCACCATTGTTTTGGATTAAAGAGATTTTGTTGTTGTGAAACTGAAATTTTAATAAAAAAAAAAAAAATATTTTGAAAATAATTGATATTAATAACATATTACTAATTGAAAAGAGTATTACTTTTAGTACGTTCTAGTATTAAAACAAATTAAAATTATCTAATATATATAATATTAATAATAATAATTATGATAAAGAAAGTAAATAGAAAATATATGGATACTGTGAAGTACCCAGTGAATTAGAGCACTGTGACCATTCCTTTTTTTTTAATCAAATTCTGATCGAAACGCGGATTAAAAACCAGAATGTCTGCTATTGACGATATTTTAACTATAGATGGGGGTAGGTTTGGAACAAAAAAATTTATTCTCACAAAAGATTTATAAAAATACTTAAAAATAACTTATTAAAAAAGATAGTGAGTTACATTCAAAAACTCAATACTAAACCATTTAAACCATTATATTATTTTGCTTATTATCTGTTAAAAACTTCAAAAACTAAATAATAGATTATCTCCAAAATCCAGTGGAGATAATTCTTTTGTTTCGAGTGTGAACAAAACAATATTTCTTTAGGTAATAAGAAAAACAAAGAATTTCAAGTAGTAACTGAGATTTTTTTAATCAAAATCTTTTTAAAGTAAAAAGAGCTTGATAGGTGATATGTAGATTTGATACCAGAACACGGAATTATTCAGAAGTGGGTAATTGGAGTTATTTGTGCCCACAATACTCGTATCTACTAATATTATTAAATGATTAGCAACAATTGAGATATCTACTTTGTAACGTTAGATTTTCGAACAAAGGTTATCGACATTACTCTGCAGAAACGTTTAAAGAAATGAGAAAAAATGAAAGAAAATAGTATACAACTTGAGTTCACAATTGAAAAAAAAAAACCACGTTTTTAAAATTATCGACGTATATATATTTTATGAGTTCGAAATCATGAAGTCGGGTCGGAAAACCTTTTGTAATAAATTAAATAGTAATCGTCAGTGAGATTACTATACAGCCGATGGATTACATCTGTCACCAATTATGATCGCTAGAGGACCTGTTGAATAAGAATAAGACCGTACACCGGTTATAGTGCCGATTATAATGATAGACAATTTAAAGATTAATTTAAGTGTATTATCACTCGTCACTTTTTCTTGAAAATTAAATAACAAAGAATTGAAATTCATCTGGAGAACCTCTAAAATAGAAAAGGCGGGTGCAGTGTATTACCTTTAAAGGTTATGGATTTTGAAATTAAAATTCATCTGGAGAACCTCTAAAATACAAAAGACGGGTGCAGTTCATTGCCTTTAAAGGTTATGGATTTTGATTTTTGGGGTGAAATGTTATTATTTACTCTCCATCGAAAACTAAAACATAACCACAGAAATGAATATTATCACATGAACCTTTATAATATAAAAACCAAATAGATTTTCATCGTCATGTAAATGTAGGAAGTTAGTTTTTTAGGATACAAAGGATTACAATTACTAAGATATTTACTATATAGAAAGAGAACAAACAATGAAAAAAGTAAAAGTTCTGTATTTTATCTATGAATAGATAGATAGTGAATAGATGTCTATGTTTATTTAGACTTCAATAGATGAGAAGTCTATCTCATCTATTTAACGACACATAAAAATTAGAAATACGATATGAGATCCTGACACTCTTCCGATGTGCTACTATAAAGTTATTTATAGATTTCCAAATTTGAAAAATTATAGATTGGATAATACTTTTGGAGACGTCTTCTGCTATAACTATATCACATATTATTTTAAAGACATATCCAATTATTTGAAGAATATAATAAAGATTATATCGTAGGTTACATATAAATTCAGCTCTTTTTTTTAGTTATACTCTGCAAGAGCTAACATTGTCAGAGTGAGTAATTCTAGTGTTTTCTGTTCATTTTGTCAGTGACTTGGAGTAGAGAAATTTTTTTTAATGGTCAGTATTAAAATTATATGTGAATAACATTCTGTTTACCAGTAAATAAATTAGGTGTTTATCAAGAATTTAAAAATGTTTATGTTCAGTTTGTGTTTGGACAATTGTTTCATTAATTTTATGTTATGTACAATAAAAATTATGTGGTTATACAGTTTATTTTATCCATTGATATATACAACTAAATTAATATAAATTCATTTTATATAAACATGTATTATTTTTTAGTGACCGTGGCTATTGTAAAATTGCGTTGTGGTTAAATATAGTATATGAGATCAGTGGTACAAGATTAACATGCCCTTGAGCACTTTTAACATATTTATGGTAGAATAATGTACTATTATGTTAGGTTTACGGATAAATAAGAAGAAAATGGGTTCACTATTCTAATCTTTTCTTTATAATATTTCTGAAGAAAAGTTGTTTGAAATACAATAACTTCGAAACGAATAGTTACATAGGAATATTTTCCTTTTGTTTGACAGGTGATAGATAACTACACCATATTGAGTTCCAAACACTTTTTTATGGGGGAAAAAATTTAAGATTTGTAACTATATATATGTATATAGCTTTGGTAAAATACAACACTCTGTTGTTGTGCTTTTTTACAATAAAAAAAAGTTCTATTATTATCTATGTCTGATCTGATCTTTAAAGACTACAAAAAATTAAAGAGATTCTTAAAAATATTGTTATCTCTTATTTAATATTTGGGAATATTTTATTAAGATCAGTGCTTTGTTTAAAAATTATTACAAAACAAAAATAAGGAAATTTTGAAAAGTTTACGTATTTTCCAAAATATTATAAACATAAACAGCAACAAAATCGGGACTGTTACCAAGAAGGGTGATATGCTTGATATGATTACAAATATATTATGAGTCGCTATTGTCTAGCCTAATGTTTAAATCGCATATTGATAATTAATGACTATAGCAGCTCTATTGGCTGAACATATGAGAGATATGATATTGGAACAAAAATAATTAATTAGAGTTCTTGAAAAGGTAATGATCATCGTTTTTTCATGATGAAGTTTTCAATGCGAAAACTGTAATTGCCTCTGCCAGTAATGGTTATGGACAAAATATATAGATTTAAAAAATTAGAATACTAAAAAGATTAATTTGACTATTTAATTTATGAATCATGTTAATAGAATGGAATTTACAAACTTTTAAAACAGATTTTTTTTTAATTCAAAGACCAGATTACAGCTGTTTTTGCACAAATAGTTAAACTGTAGAATTCAGCAAAGCTGTGAATTAATATTTAATTATTTGTGAGCTGTTTTCCTCTTTTTTATATATTTTTTGAAACCATATTTTTGACTGATTATCCAATAGCACGATAGCTTCAAAATGTTGACAGTGGATTCAGTGGATTAATACTTTTACTGATCCTTCACGCATTATATCTGCATTGCTTGTAGACAGCCATCATAGAGCAAAAGAAATATACGCAAATGTTCTAAACTTTTTTCAGACTTACTGGCTTCTTTTTATGCTCGGTTGATGCCATATCTAATATATACTTATTTTCCGATTCTACTTAAGTTTCAGTTACATTCTCTTCAATTCCACGCATAATACTTTCGATTTTGGACTTATTTCGTATGCTGACATAGATGTCTCCTAATATATGTTGACACTATCACCCATTTTGGATATTTAGTTTGTTTTGAACAGATTTATTTATGATAGCCGTTTTTTTTTTAATTAAAAAAAAATGGATCAAAGAATCGGTATTAAATTATGTGTGAAAAATAAAATTAAGTGCTTTAATGTAGTTGAAATATTGACTGCGGCGTCTCGCGAATCTACTTTAAATAAAAATATGTTTATAAATGCTACAAGTTATAAGCAGAAAACCGAAAATATATTAATGACGATGCCCCCTGGACATCTTAGCACATCAACAATAGATAAAAACGTTGTAGCATTGAAACAAATTGAGAAGAAGAAGAGAAGTTGCTGAGGATGTTACCTTATCGGTTGGTTTATGCTATAATATTTTTTCGGAAATTTTTGGTATAGAATATATGCTTACAATTGCTAGATCTTGTCGAAAAAAACTTTTGCATGTTTCTATTACTTGAACATAATTTTTTGACCAAAAACAATATCTTAGTTAGTTAGTGGGTTAGTTAGTTAGGGTTACCATAGTTAGATTTAGTATAATCACTGAAGTTGGCTTTCCTTTTCTTTTTCACAAAACTGAAATGACTCATAAAAGGACAGAGATTTGCCACAATTGAGAAAATAAAAATCGCATAGCTATGGAGTTTCGAAGTCATATGAAATAGAAATATATATTAGAATTAAAAAAAGCAATTGCACAAGTGTATAATATATGGGGGCGTGATTACTTAAAAGGCAACAATACAGATATTGATAAATAAGTAAATGTTTACGATATTAAAAGTCACTTTATTTTTTGAATAAACCTCTAACGTATAAATAAAGTCTTTCGATTGGTGTTCTTTCCATAACCGCATCTCTTATTTTATGCCTACATATATACACTAGTATAGACAAGGTAAATTTAATTAACATAAGCTTGCCGTAAGCTACCTATAAATTTATTCATGCTTAGCAATATGAGATGGCGCAAAATTTTTATCTAGATTTAGGTAAAAATATAGGCTTTCGATTCATTTTGACAATTCACCTACTCTTTCTAATTATATGCCTCCATATACATATACGTTAGTATAGATTGATTGAGTATCTCATGTTTAATGAATATCCGCACCTGGACAGGAGTTTGAGCTATGGGCGCATTGATACACTCTGCACGATCGAGAGATGTTTACTCAAGCATAGTAAATAACATATCGTTAAGAGCTTTGGAGTATTGAAGATTTAAATTGAAAATTATGTGGAAATAAGCTTATTGTTAATAAATGCGACCGCTGACACTCAGAGAGAGTAAACAGTTTAAGAAGAAGAAGCTTGAGTATAGATTGATTTAAACTGGTTGGGCATTATCTACCCGCAGACTATTTCTATCAATATCAGAAGGAGCAAATTTATTTTGCTGTAGACGTATTTATTTAT